AATTAATTGGTTTTCCATTATTTGTTATGGGGAAAATTGGTTCAGAACTCAAACTTTTTAGGATTCGATCCGGAGTTCTGAATGGATTAAGTTCAAGTTCTGAGGTACCACTGTACTTTTTTGGTCAGTGTATAATTCCATATGTCATTTTATAGTGCCATTGCCTTCATAATTATTCTAAAATGTGGAGGATGAATAAACCCATCTTTGGTACTGTATGTGCAGGGGCACTGAGGAGCTGTGTGCCCATTCCCTGGGTATCTGTGCAGCGTGTGTATGAACAGAAGTGGCTCTTTCCCTGGGTCAGGTCTCCTGTGTGACCTGCTGTGGTCGGACCCAGACAAAGACGTGCAGGGCTGGGGGGAGAATGACCGCGGCGTCTCCTTCACCTTCGGGGCCGACGTGGTCAGCAAGTTCCTCAACCGGCACGACCTGGACCTCATATGCAGAGCACACCAGGTGGCGCCCATGAGCACACCGCCCAAGCACCAGCCCAGCAGCCCGACAAAGGCTTTCATCTGGCCACACTTCAGCTTTGCATTCTCTGCCTCTATTACTTCTGATATACCTATACTGTAGTTGCATCTATACCTAGAAATGTGCTTTCCAGTCGGCCAGCTATGATGTATAATTTAGCTCCTATTGTGATGAAAACCAATGTAAGGCACCTTCCTTAGAAGAACTTTTTTTAGGTGATCTCTTTACTGTTGTTTACTTGTTAAGTCTTTACCTTTTCACGTTATTATTTATTTTCATAATTATGCATTTTTATATAAAACCTAGCATTTGCCAGAAATATACTCCTCTGTTTTCATGGTGTGAAAACTAACCTAAGAGTGGTGAGATTCAGTCAGTCTCATTCTTCCTTTATTCATCAGCCCCTAAGAGGCTGTGGAACTGAATTTCATGTGTTCTGATGAGCCACGCCTGCTCCTGGTATTTACCTGAGAACAGGTGTGGCTCATCAGAAGCCAGGTAGGATAGAAAACCGACTGGATAGTAGCTCTCTAGGACCGGAGTTGGAGACCCCTGCTATATGACAATGAAGGAGGGATGTTTTTATTTCTGTAAAAAATGTAGTCAGTTGGACTTTAAAAATGAAGAAACATGGAAAGTATAATGTATTTTAAATGCTAAAATTAAAGCAGTATCTTCATATCCGTCAGTTATACTGCAATATTATAAATAGGTGCAAAAGACATAAGCAGGTGGTACATTTACGCTGTCTGGCCTGTAGGTGGTGCATTAATGCTGTCTGGCCTGTAGGTGGTGCATTAACGCTGTCTGGCCTGTAGGTGGTGCCTTAACGCTGTCTGGCCTGTAGGTGGTGCATTAACGCTGTCTGCCCTGTAGGTGGTGCATTAACGCTGTCTGGTCTGTAGGTGGTGCATTAACGCTGTCTGGCCTGTAGGTGGTGCATTAATGCTGTCTGGCCTGTAGGTGGTGCATTAATGCTGTCTGGCCTGTAGGTGGTGCATTAATGCTGTCTGGCCTGTAGGTGGTGCATTAACGCTGTATGCCCTGTAGGTGGTGCATTAACGCTGTCTGCCCTGTAGGTGGTGGAGGACGGCTATGAGTTCTTCGCAAAGCGGCAACTGGTCACTCTGTTCTCAGCTCCCAACTACTGTGGCGAGTTTGACAACGCAGGAGGCATGATGAGTGTGGACGAGTCCCTCATGTGCTCTTTCCAGGTCGGGCAGAAACATGGGCAGCCTTCAGCAAACACTCTAATCTAGTGTTCCTGAATCCAGTGCTCAGGGACCCCCAGACAGTCCAGTTATATGTTCCCTCCCACCTCCCAGTAGGAGCAAAAACAAAGACAGTCTGGGGCTCCCTGAGGACCAGGTTGGGAAACACTGCTCTGACCAGACACACCAGTATACCTCACCACTATAACAAGGATGCCTCTTCCCCCAGATCTTGAAGCCTTCAGAGAAGAAGACCAAGTACCAGTATGGGGGGCTTAATTCGGGCCGTCCTGTCACCCCTCCCTGCACAGCCCAGGTCCCCAAAAAGAGGTAAGCTACTGGTCTGTCTCCCCCCCTCTATCACCACCAGTGACTGCAGCCTTTAATCAAACACATGCACTCCCTATAGAGAGTGGTCAGTATTTTCAGCTGTGTTTGATGTAATGGTTACATTAATGGTATTTATTCTCCAAAGCCATGAGCTGCAGGTACAGCTACATTGAACTTCGGCATGGGTCAGGATATATTTGTTGCTAAAGGGTTTTACGCTCCTGCCTGCAGATGAAGATCAGGGTAAAAGACTCCTGTAAGATTTCCTTAAGGCAGACCGTGCTTCTCATTAGCATCGACTTCTAATTGACAGGTTCCTTGCTGGTGCAGAGCATGGGGCTCCAAAGTTGGGGGCTCATCCAGGGTTCGAGGCTGCATCCCCTCTGGCGTGTGGGTTTCCCCCCACGGTCTAATTGGCATCTCTAAATTGCCCATCCCGATTTTGGTGTGATGGAATAGCCTCCCATCCAGGGTGGTCTCTAGTACACTATGCGGCCTGGGATAGGCTAGGGCCCCCTGTCACCTTATGCCGGATAGGTGGTTGGAAGATGCATGGATATTGACACACCCAGTTAAGCTGATTATTATGTTATATATGTATTGTTACTCAAAACTGCTTCCTGAAAGCCATCCTGGGATGTCAGATGATACCCTTAAAATGCCTGTTACCCTATAGCCTTTTGTAGAGTGCATTGAATAATCAGTTTGTTTTTGTCTGATGTGGGACAGGTGAAGCAGAAAAAGAAGCTTGAGTGACAAGGAAGAGGACAAGCGACTGAATCGGCAAACAGCCCCAAATGATGTTTCCTTCCTGTCCTTTCGCTGGGAAGGGAAAGAAACCTAAGTCCATATTTGCAGCAGAAATGCTGCCCTCTAGTGGTTATAGTACATTAGTGCTTCCACCACCATGAGTACACAGGGCTGTGGGCCCCACATAAGGGATCATGTACTGAAGTCTGACCCATCTGGATTTATTTCTCAGTTTTGATCATACACTTACATGTTGGCACACACAAGAATTTCATATGTTTGCATGGCACTCTTCGGTGTCCCTTTTACAAAGTGATTTTTGTTGCGTGTTCGTTGTCTTTTCATGTTCTTTTCTTCCATTTCCTCGAGCTGTGGAGTTCTGAATAAGGCTGCCTCTGTATAAATGGAAGAGTGCTGTGATCTACAGGCTTGGAGAAGCATAAACCCCTGTGTTTTTCTGTAGTGCTTTCTATTCTGTCTTGTGATACTAGTGTCATCACTTACATTACAAAATAAAGTGGGAATACGATACAACTGGTAATTTGTGTGAAGCTGCCTCACACGCCGAATATGTCAGCAATTATGAAATCTGCATTTGTTTTATTCTGTGATTGGTTATTCCTATGTGGAGTAACAAAAATATGTATGAGCTGGACAGTCACTCTCTGGGTCAAAATGAGGCCCCGAACAAGCCTCATTATTACCCACAATGCCTCAGTCCGACGGCAGGCCCTGCAGCACCGACTCTGGGACCCTGCTGCTGTAGTACTGGTGATCCCTGAGCGTGGCCAGCACTCCAGCCGAGTTCATGTGCTTCACGTCGGCATGGTAACGGTATGGCCTGCCGCGCATGTCCGTCAACTTTCCTGCAGCACCAGGGAGAGAAGGGGCTCTTGAGACACAAACACAGCCTGTCCTCATCACTCACGGGGCATCCCCACGTCTGCAGAGTCCTCGTCCTGTACAACAGAGTTAATGTTTATGAGTTGCTCAAATAAAATATATAGGTGTGTATATAAACGACCGGGATGCTGCTTTGAATAAATAAGCTACATGACACACAAAAATACTACAGCTGAATTACCCCTCCCCCCCCAGCTCATTTATGACCATGAGCACCAGCACAGGAGCCTGATAGGCCGGCAGAGCCTCTCACCCCCCACGGCGTGTAGAATGGCCTCCGGGGCACATGTATCCCACTTCTTACATCCCGGGCTGGCGAAGACGTATGCGGAAGCCTTCCCCTCCACCAGCTGGATGATCTACGCACATTGTGACAAGCAGGTTGCTGTGGTTGCATCCTTCACAGATGCCTGCTTCACAGAACACGTACTCTACAGGGCAGTGTAAAGGAACTGAACCACTTCATGGAATAGCATGGACACCTCAGAGCTTGTGGGAAGATGGATTAATAACAGCGGCACAGTATAAGCAGAAAGCGCCTGCGAAGTGACTGATAGGTTACAGTGGTGATTATCAACTCGTGGGTCGCGGCAAGTTCTGAAAGTGTCACAAGGCGGAGCTACAAACGTAAGCATTTTAATACCAGCAAGCTCGATCAGATTTCCCAGCCCCAGTCCTATAATTAACCTATATAAACGGGTCTTGGTTCTGCAAATGCTTAGGGCAAAACTAGTGAACATTCAACCAATCCAAGAAGCCAAATCGCAATTGCTCAATTTAAAAATCACTGGCATGGCCAATTAGATTTGTGTGATTAGTGTAAATTGCATAGCTGGATCACAGCGTTTATTTAAACATGTGTACTTGGTGTAGGGTCGCGACTGAGCTGGCATAGTAAAAATTGGGTTGCGGTGTAAAAAAGGTCGAGAACCAGTGCATTATAGTCCAAAATAGCTTTAGAATTTAGTGCTCTTGAATACACTTACTCACAATCACCATTAAGCTTATGCAATGCCCCTGGATCCTGTATCTGAATTAGTGACCCTCTGTCCCCCTTACCTTATTTCCAGCCCCGCCCACTCTGATGACCTCATGTGGTTCCATGGCCTGCACGCAGTCCGTCACCAGTTTGTTGCTGTGGGAACGAGTGGTGGTGATGATGCGTTGTCCTCCTGGTACCTCTTTCAGCTCAAACCCGAAGGCCCCCAATCCCAGCATGCCCCACAACGTCCTCCCCAGGCTCCCCCCTGGACCCAGCTAGGTCGGAAGAGAGCACACATTCAGAAAGGGAAAACATAGAGGCAGGTACACTACAGTGTGCAGAGAAGTCATACAGGTACATTGCAGTGGAGCCTTTGCGATCCTGGTAGTTCATGAACACATGAAAATGCCAGTGTTTTCTTAAAGACAAAACATACCAATATAACTGAACAGCAAATTTCCAAAACTCACTAAGGGCGCTTTTCCACCACACCAGGTACCGTACTTTTAGTACTACAAGAACGGTACTTGTACTTCAAGGTTTTCCACTGGCGTAAAAACTGGAACCAGCTCCGAATTACATCACAACACGAGGCCAGGTATTTTGTACTGAATTCAAAAAATGGCTGCAGTATATTAAATGGGTTGGCAATGTGCAATATTAATACCAACATCGCATGTTAGTCAGCTATATTAAAATAAGGCTTTTTCTTACTTTCAATTCTGTATGGACATTATAGTACAGGGGGTTAAAGTTTCATGATTTTTTCATTTGAAAAGTGAAAGTACCGAATGTACTGTGTAATGTGCAGTGGAAACGCGCCCTAAGTCCACAGGATATGTTTTGGAGAAAATTTCTGTGCACTTTAGTGTGTGTTGGAAATTTAAAAGTTCTTTGTTGGATTACATGAGGACTAAGTGAGTTTTTATTATACTGTAACGTAATAAGGAAGATTGACTTGGCCTTCTCATATCAAGAACAACAAAGAATGAACGGAGTTTTGGAAATTTGCTTTGCAGTTATGTTGTGTACATGCATATATACCTTGGTCAACAACTTAACTATGACCAAGGCGGCAGAGATTTCAGAGCGAGACAATCCCTGTGTCCCACTGAAGTCATTCCCTTCAATGAAGCACTGAACCCAAGACCAGTACCTGGTAGTTGAAGAAGGGCTGGTTAATCACACCGGCTATTGCTTTCCCACCGTATGCGATGCCAATCAGTACAGTCACATGATCCAGGAGGCCTGCAGGATCATGCCGTTACTCAGAGCCAAGCGAAACAGTTACATGGTGGCATTAACATTCAATAGCATTAAAAGTCACAAAGGTCTGAGGAAATGACTGGGGGACAAAGTTAAAAGAGAAGAAAGATAAAATACAGTATGAACAAGCTTTCAGCAGACCTTCATTGTTTTACTCATGGGGGTTTTACTTACAGAAAAATGTCCTGTAGGCAGAACAAAAAATGATTGGTTCAGAGAGACAACAAATCAGGTGGTAAAGGAGTTGGGTCCAAGCAACTAGAGCAGGGCTATTCAATTCAGGCCCTCGATTCCAAATCCAGGCCTTGTTTTCACTTCTCCCAGGTAGTTAGTGTAATAATTACTGATTCTGATTGGTCAGAGGTTTCACACCTGGCTCACAGGTGAAGGAAGGCTGGAAAATCAGCAGGGCTCGGCCCTTGAGGACCGTGAGTTGAATAGCCCTGAACTAGAGGAAGCAGGACGAAGACTTATCTTTGGTTGGTCCCACCTCCTCTAGTTCCTTGGACCCACCTCCTCTACAATCTGATTGGTTAGTTGTCTGAACCAACCATTTTACGCTCTGCCCTCAGAATATTTTTGTGTATGTAAAACTCTAATGAACCATTCTTCTCCCTTTACACAACACTCTTATTTCACATTTCTATACTTGACTTATACCTCCCTCCATTCTGCGCCCACATTCCCGCCAAACTGTACCCACATCTCCCTTTTGTTCACATCGTATCCCCATCCACATACAGCCCACGGTCTTTCTCCTATATCTGCACCCACATCCCTGCCTCCCCCGCGACTCCTGCCTCCATACACAGAGCTGTGCCGTGTCGCAGAGCTGCTCCATTCAGGCTGACCGCCACTGGGCCCAGCAAAGGCAGGGTGCCAGGGAGGGAGGGAGGGAGGGAGGAGACAGAGAGATACGGGAGAGAGTTGCTGTCAAGGCGGAAGAAACAGACAGAGATGAAGAAAAGAGGGACAAACAGGCAGTGCAGGAGAAGTAACGTGTGAAGAATTATAGAGACTGACTGTATGTGTGTCTTCCCTTTAAGAAAAACCAGAAAATATGTGATATCTACTTTATATCAAACAGTGAATCAACGACGGAATGACTGGCACTAATCAAGTCATGACCCCCTAACCTTCAGTGTATTCTTTGGTCCCATCCAGAGGATCGACCCACACCACGAGCTGAAGAAGAAACAGAAGACCGCTGTCATGGATGGTAAAACCCTAAGCAACTTGGCACTCCAGTATTTAAATGACACGACAGATTATTCCTGCACTGTTAAATCTGCAGATGATTTTGTGAGCGATATATGTAGTTTCTTCTTCTATTTAGAACTACATCACTTTACACTTTATCTTAATTAACTTTGCACAAATGCATCTAATGATAATAGTATATTTTATTTATATAGCAATAATGCTCAAAAACTCAAAGATAAAAGAACAAAGAACATAGCAAAGTAAACATGACTAACAACAAAAACCTTTTATGGACAGAGGCTCAAGCAAAAAGAAAGGTTTTCTGTTTGGTTTTGGACACTGTGTTCAGCTGATGGATGGCAGTAGGGAGGGAGTTTCCAGTGTAGGGGAGCTAAAGGGGTAAAGGCAGAGTCACCAAAGTCGTGGAGTTTGAAGGGGGAGATGAAGGCACCAGGGGGCTTGGTTGTTAAGAGCTTTTAAAGTACATCTACTAAAGTAAAGTAAATATAATCAGCATCAGGAGTGATCCTCATTTATCCATCACTGTTCAGTGGGTTAGGACGCTGTGCCTGTAATCGGGATATTGTCAGGTCAAATCCTGCAGTGGGCAGAATAATGTCACCTTAGGCTCTTAACCCCAATTGGTCCAGAGAAAGGCTAAATAATTTATGTGAACTACAGCAACAGCTGAGATGCAACTCTTCAGTGGGAATCTGATCTCGCTCATCTTTCAGGCCGATGCTACTAAGTGACATGAATATTACCGTGCTTAAATTCTGTTGATCACGGTCACTCCAAACCGAGCTCTACAGTGCTCCAGTGAGCTCTACAGTGCCCCAGTGCGTTTCCAGTCACCTACCTCCTCCTCCCTTATGTTGCTATACTCTGCTGGGCAAACCTTCTCCAGGATGTCGCCAGCCTGCCCACTCTCAATCAGGTCCTCTTCCACAGCTTCAGAAGGTATGTCCTGCACACAGCAACCAAACAATAGGACGCTGATGTGGGTCAGGTGATGCTGAGATACAAAAACTTAGAAACACAGACTCAAAAATGACAAGGAATTACATATTTCCATCACACTGCCCTCTCCAAATCTCTGAAAGCAGAAATCCTTGGTTATGCCCCTTACCTCCTCTCCAATGATGGTAATTTTCGGGAAGCGTCGTGACAGGGAGGCACAGATGCTCTTCTGAACAAGGCGGTCTGCCAGGGTTTGCAAGTCATTGGATCCTGTCTGTGCAGGTTAGCAAGCACACACCCCCACAAACGGAGCACGACCGATAAATCGCCAGCCAATATGAGCTAATTGCAAAAAATCAGTATCGGCGATTATAACGACTGATAAATGGCAATTAAAAAGAAACAGAGATGGAAGACGGATCCTGGTGAAGATTACGCATATCTTAGGGAATGATCTTTGTTTATAATTGTGTGTTTCAGGGAAAAAAATATCCGCTCATATATCATATCAGATTTTCAATTCTCAAATATCAAAATTGATATGGGAAAAGCCTGTTGGGCTCTAGCCACTACCATACACAGACACGCCAGAGGGCATCCCTTTACGTGCACGCTGCCTTACCTTCTCCACAATGCCGAGGTCGCCACTGTGCATCACTTTCCTCACAATGCTTCCTGCCCGCTCGGCCACAGTGAAGGCGGAGGCGACCAGGCGCATGACCAAGGCTGGACTTCCTGCCATCCTGACTCCTTGGGACAGACAGCGAAGAGGGAGTTAATAGGAGAACTGTGTGCTTCTGAAGTGACGCGTACCTACGCCGTGTGTTTCTGAAGTGACGCGTACCTACGCCGTGTGTTTCTGAAGTGTAGTGGACCTATATTTTGCGCCTGTGTGCTTCTGAAGTGTGGTTCAGTGTGTCAGGATGCTATGTATGTAATCAGAAGGTCGCTGGTTAACACCAAAAGGTCGGCTGTTTGATTACCTCATTGGGTCCTTGAGCAAGGTCCTTAACTCTATTTGCTCCAGGGATGATTTTTAATTTATTTAAATTTAACAAAAAATCTTTGCATCACAAAGCAGTCACACATTTAATAAAATATTGCAGTACTGAAACGAGGTGCATGTAGAATGTTACTCATATCCTGGGCATGATATTAATTTAATTGTTAATAAATTATTGTATAGTATTTAAACCCGCACACCTTTTTCTGTGCTGCACCATTATAAATATACTTTGTAAACATACATCCATCCATTGTCCAACCTGCTTATCCTCCTGGCTCACGGGGGGTGCAGAGCCTATCCCAGAAGCAACAGGCACAAGGCAGGGAACAACCCTGGATGGGGAGCCAGCCCATCACAGGGCACACTCACACACACACACCTATGGGCAATTAAGGAACTCCAATCAGCCTCAGCATGTCTTTGGACTGTGGGGGGGAAACCGGAGTACCCAGAGGAAACCCCACGACGACACGGGGAGAACATGCAAACTCCACACACATGTGCCTCAGGCAGAGACTCGAACCCAGGTCCCAGAGGTGTGAGGCAACAGTGCTAACCACTGCACCACCATGCCACCCACTTTGTAAGCATTCAGTCGAAATGCTTAAAGGATATTTATGAAATTATAATTGCAGTCATTAAAACTCAGGTGAGTCCATTACCGGTGATTTCACCGTGATTTGCCTCAGGCCGTCGCCAGGGGGCGATAACGGTAAGTTTTCCTCCCGGGCCCCGGACTGGAAGGGGCCCCGGTAGGAAAAATCTGCCAAGGGAGACCCTCTCACACTCCCGGTCGTCAAGGGGGTCCTAGGTGTCATTTCTCAAGGGGTCCCAGAATTCCTTGCCATACCCCCTTAGTACTCGTACCTTGCTATGTGCGCTGAACTGTTAATGGCAATATCAATGTTCAAAGTTCAAAGTTCAAACCATGACTTTTAGATATCTTTTTTTCCACTATTAAACTTCGTTTAAAAAGCACCAAGTCACTGCTGCATACCCGCTGACATTTGCAGTTTAACGATAACATTCAAATGTGACATTTCACCTACATATTTCTCCCAGTTAGCACAATGGGAGCCGAATACGTTCATGCGAGTTCGCTGTTATACCACCAGCAAACGAACGGATGGCAGTGGATTTAGATTTTAGTGCCTTATAATGACTTTAATTACTTATTTAATTTTAATATATTATAGTCAACCATGCACCAAACTTGCTAGCTCTCCCATAAATATATTACCAACAAATCAAACGATTGTGTTAAATTCACCATTTATTTAGGATTTGGTTCGGTGTATACATAGTAAATTGCAAGATATTACTTATTAAACTTACGATAGCCGCTGAAAATCGTAGTTCAAGAGCTTGCAGTATTACAATCGGTAGAGCTGGAAACCGTCTGAATCGGAGGCGGAAACAATGTGCGGCGAAGATCCGCGTGAAGGTCCTAAAGCCTGTCATGTTAACGTCCGCTGTTTATTCGAGCGCTGCACATTGTTGCGGTGTTGAGTTTCCTCCACTTGTACACAGTAAAAAGCCCTCAGAAATAGCCTTTGATCGAGCCATGACACATTTCCAAAACCTCTGCTGTGAAGATCAGACTTTGATAGCAAAAACTGAAATATACGTTCTTAAAATATTTAAAGGCAAGATCCCCCCAAACTCACACCTGATTGACCTGAATTTCCACATAAAATTTACTGATAATCCTAAAGGTTCATATACCTTTTCTTAACACATATAAATAAAATTGGATAATTTTCCTCAATAAATAAAGGAACAAGTAAAGTGTTTTATGATTTGGTAAACTGGCTTCTCTATCTAGTTTTAAGACTTAGGCTACTTGAAAATCTGATCATGTTTAAGGTCCATATTTAAACTTTCTAGTACTACAGTAAGTGCAGCTTTTAATAATACAGTACAATATTTCAATATTATAGATCAAAATTTGATCAATTCCAGATCTTCACCCATGTCTGCAATGTTTGAAAAAGATCTGTCAAATACTTTTTGAGTTAATAAGGAAATAAATGTCAGTGGAGGCAGATTGACCTTTGTAATATGGGTACGCTTTTATTTTAATTATTTTATAATTAATTGGAATACTGAGACGTGATTTTTACAGGCTTGATTATATTTATTACATGACATGAGTAGTGAGAGCGCGGAATTTCGTCCGACGGAACGATCTTTTGGGAATCTGTTCCCAAACGTCGAACGTTCTTTGACACAACGCTTAACTAACCGAGACTTCTACCTGGTCTGGAGTAGACTTGTTCAGTCTTCTAAGTTACCATGGTAGCCCACGGGGATTCATTTAAGACACGTTGATGGAACGGAACTCCCACTTAAATGAGCCACACTTGTCGACATGTCAGACTTTCCCTTAATCATGCTTCGTGGAACACCCTCCTGGGTAACATCTAAGGGTAATGTCAATGTTTGTGAGCTCACTATCAGGAGATCGCTGAACAACAGTGGTGTCCATGGCAGAGTTGGACACTTACATTCCAGTATTAAAATATCTCTGTTCCCCTTTATTACATTTTTGTATTGCACAGCTTGCACTGTTTTATTCCTCTATTCGATTGTTTTATTTCTATTTGTCTATTTTTCTTAATTTGTCTTTTGTGAATGTAAGCACCAGTACTGCCAAAACAAATCCCTAGTACATACAGTTGTACCTGGCCAATAAAGGGAATCCTGATTCTTAAAGCCACTACTCTCCAAGAAGAATATCACTGCCCTTTTAGTTTGCTAAACACCATGTAAATATTTCAGGAGGACATTGAAAAATGTTCTGTGGATGGATGAGTCCAATATAAAATGGTTTAAGCAGAAGAAACTTCATGTTTTGCAATGGCTAATATAAAATCCAGACATGATGAAGCAAGGCAGCATGGTGGTTAGCACTGTTACCTCACACCTCTAGGATCAGGGTTTGAGTCTCTGCCTGGGTTACAAGTGAGTGGAGTTTGCTTGTTCTTCCCATGTTGTTGTGGGGTTTTACCACACACATGTAACATTGGATTATTTTCCTCAGCATGTGAAGTGTTTGTGTAATTTTGATTAACTTGGTTGTCTTTAGGTTTAGGACTTACTTGAATTTTTGCCCAGGTTTTAGGTCATATTTATGCAGAAAGAGAGAAAATACCAAAGAATTCACAAACTTTCTAGCACCACTGTATATGAATTTATTATCCTGTTGTCAACCAAATTTCAGATTCATGAGTTGAACAGGAATTTCAAGGCCATTCTCAATTCGCTTTGGAATGACGCCTAACCCCGCTCCGCACAACATATATGATGCTGATGTGCCCAGTTGCTACATTGTCTCTCTGGAGTCACCTGCACTGGGATTTCGCTTCAGAGCTGCTGCAAGGACTGCCACAGTTCCACAGGAATTTTCAACCTTTATTTGTTTTTCAAAGGTTAATATGTATTCTTCAAATATATGCACACATAACCAGTGTCCGCTGTTTCACTTTCCACTTGACGGGGCAGGATTCCTACCAGAAATCAAAAAAGCTGGACTTTAGACAAGGAACACAAAGCACTGAATGTTCCATCCAAATCCATTATTTAACCGTAATTATTTAATACTGACCAGGTTTTCACTGGTGCTCCTACTAAGGACACTAATTTGTACATCCAGGAAGGAGTATTTGTGTACAGCCTGTTCCTGGACAGGGTTCTACCAGTGGTACCCAAAGACTAGAATCTCTAAATCTGTACCATTTACAAGAAGCCCCAGTGCACTGATGTAACCTGCATGGCTGGGGGGCGTCTGTGCACCCGGCCACCACCTGAAAACAGGGCATGACATGGCGCCGCCCTGCTGTGTGACAACAAGTGATGCTTGCACTCATCTTGCAGCATTCCTCACTATGATGTCACCCAGTCTTGTTAATATGGCTATTTTACTTCATGAATGAACAGAAACATACAATACATTTTTAGTGTGAAATTGTTAAATGATAACAATAGGCTGTTCATCCACCTTCCGAATGCGTATGTAGTACAAAGCTGTGAGGGCGCCAGAAGCCGATCACAGCCAGCAGCAGGAATGGGGACGGGGAAGGACAGTCCTTAACAGGGCGCAAGTTATTGGATTGTGAGGGACAACAGCGCCACCAATGTTCAGTGTGTGAAATTTGCTATGGATTTTAGGTGGATTACAACCAGCCTCTGCCAGCAGGTGCCGCCCTGGGTAACCTGGACTTTGTTTATAAGTCAATCTGTAAAATACAGACTCAATGAACCTTCTTCTACTGAACCGACACATTTCCTGGGAAATACAGTAAAGGCGTCTGCATCAATCAGTTTCTCTGACTCACATGTAAGATAAAAATATAGACAGATAAAAACGCTGTAGTGCTTCTTAACAGATGTCTTCTTAACTGCAGGAGAATTTGAAATACAATGCTCACCTTTCCTTGTTTTATAACTTTGTTTTGCACTTTGTATACAGAATATAAACCAATATAAATATCTCATGTTAAGCAAGTTGTAATTCTCTAATAGAATTCTCGGCCAAAAGAAGATCTTCGAGGAACTGAGTCTGAGGCGAAGGGCAGGTGCCGTCCTCCCACGGCTACCTGTCGCCGAGCGGGCGGTAACCCATCTCTCCTTCCAGCTGCTGAGCCGTGAGGGCGCCCAGCAGAGGCTGGCAGTCCGGGTTGAAGACGGAGTAGGCGCTCAGCTCCCCGGGCTGGCGCGCCGCGGGGCTGCGAAGCCCCTCGTACAGCCAGTAGAAAAGGGAGATGAGGAAGAAGGGCAAGCCGAAGTCGAGCTCAGAAAAGAGTCCAAGCAGGACGAGCCAGAGCAGCAGCTTTAATAGGGTCACGTTCGTCACGGCCAGTCTGCGGCCCAACGTGCTGCGCATCAGCCAGTCCATCGGCACCTAGGAGAAGCGGCCATGTGAGGCTACAGCGTGAGACCTGCATCGGGGAAAGTCAAATGCACGCATACCAGGGCTGCCAGCTTTAGTCAGACAGCTGGGGTGAAGTTTTCAATTCGAGACAAGTCTGCACACATATTTACATGTAAACAGTCTGCAGGGTTTGCAAAGTACACCAACGGCTTTGATATAGCTCATTTTAGGTGTATGATGTAATGATAGATTTGCCGTAAGATTTCTTACGTGAGAGTCTTAAAGCCTGTCATACTACTCGTAATTAAATATGTCAGAGTTACTACTATGAAATGTTTGCCATTCCTTTCTAATAACATTATCAGATCCAAAGATCTGCTTTAAAGCTTGGCGTATTTGATACCCGAGCGGCTGTCGCTGTCGCCGAAGAGCTTCTTTCGGTTTGTTCTTCCTCGTTAAGGGTCCCCGTTGTCACTGACAGCTCCGTTGCGGTCTCCGGCCGGGCCCCCGTCACTCCTGCACATTTCGATGCTGCTTCCGCTTTCTTACGGGCTCTGAACTCCGACAATTTCTGCTCCATTACAGAATTTTCTTAAGGAGCGAAACGGAAACAGCAGAGCAACTCTGAAGCGCCAGTCCAGAGCTACGACTTCGATCTCCGAAACAAATGTGAAAATGCTCCCTCTAGCGTACCGTTAGAAGCGGTCGTAAATGGTCGTAAAGGTCGTAAACGCCTTAATAATATCAAAATAAACATTTTACTGTTAATGTGTGGTACTCCTATGTTAATATATTATCTAAAATAAATAATAAAGCTTATAAAATTAGAGTATGTCAATAGAGAATGAGTGATTAATGTATGATAGCTGGAAATGCACGCACTTAAATGAATGGTGGTCCTCCTGGCCACAGGGGGCGACATTCAGAGATAAAACCTCTCTAATGTTGTAGTTTGTCTTGACGGATGGCGGTATCATGCCGTCATTATTTCGAAAATATAAACAAACGTGACAGCCGACAGGGCATTCAGCTCATGCTTCGCAGGCTGTGGTGAGTAGTTAGACAGACTCCAGGCAACCTGCTGCTCTGCTGACAGAGGCAGTCAGACAGCTGTAATGTTTCCAAACTTTTAAATCTGGTATCAATTAAAGCAATTTTAATTAGGTCTAATTAATATTAAATATATCCATGAGGTGAAGTTTGGATAGTTTCAAGGGTGTAGTTGCAGTGTCTATTTTAACATGTATCTTATCTTGGTGCTTTTAAAAACGCTTGTTTTCACGTGCCGTCCTTTCCAGAGTAAACTTTGTGGATTTCCTGACCTATCGTTACTATAAACTATTGCTCGACCAGAATAATTCACAGGGGGTATTTTTTTTATCACTGTTAATGGGATTTTACAGCATGCATACAATTATGGAATTAGTAGCATCCGATTTTCATTTTTAATTGATAGGCGTAATTTGATTGAATTAGTTTTTGTTTTTTGAGTAGGAGGTTTAAACTTTTTATGCCTCATACAGATAAAGCTATGTTGAGAATGGACGGTGAATTATGATGTAGAGAAATTACTGTCGAAAGTGGTAAAATAAATGAGTGCATGTTGTTTGTACCTTTATTTTACCTTGCTTACACAGGACACTCACTTCGCCTTTATGCATGCTCTTAAAATGGGGCTTCTTTTTTTGTTGCCAAATTGCAGTTATTGTACAGGGTTAAGTATGACTCCAAGCTTCCAAACTTGCAAGCACGTATCCTGACATAAGTCTTGGGGGGGAGGGGGTGTTATTCCACGCAGCTCACATGGCACGAGGCAGGGGTGCACCCTGGATTACTATTGAATGATTACGATTGAAGTGAATACTGCAATATAGAAAAGAAGATTATAGCATGAAATGAATACAGGGACCAGATCCACAGAGGTTATTTCCATTCTTTATCACAATATACTTTGCAATACATCTTACAAGTTTATACTGTACACATGTTCTTTTAATGACTGACCCCCCCCATCCACTCGCACAAACACACACACTCACACACACACGTAACCTAATAATGCAGTCTATTTACAGCTATGAGCGCTAATAAAGATTAACCAGAAATGAATGAGTAATTCATTAAAATATACTTATGTAAAAAAAGGAACGGTCTCATATTTTCTCAGTCGTCTTATGGATAATAAAAATAAAATAAAAAAACAGCAAGCCCAGACTTGCTGAAATGTGTCTCTGTTTTCTGGACAATAAGTGGCTGGACAGACGGCAAAGATTGATGGTAATGTGAAAACAAGATTGACCATTGTGGGAATATTAAAACCAACATTATGTTTATTATGATGATACCCTGAAGAGAATACTATTGGTGATGGTTACTTTTGGTGTGATTGGATAAATAGTATCTCTGGTAAAGGGCTGCACGATGTATCATGTGCATGTTCAATAATCACATCGTATTGGTCGGTGCTGCTTTGTGCCTGTTGACACAACTCGGAGCAACATCACCAACTTATTTGACAGACTCTGTTGGATGATAAGTTCTGTTTGGCTATAGTTTACTTCAGATAATTTCATCTCCTTTTTTGTTTTGTAAGTATCGATATGTTACTCGTGGAAATTTCATGGACATGATATCATGCAGCCCTACTCTGTTACTAGTCTAAGCTTTCATGTAGGCCTCTTCACTATGCTGGTTTCCATTTCAGCTCATTAATTGGGCTTTATTATGCTTTTGATTTGTTTCTCACCCTAATCTGGCAAAAATAAAAAATTATGGAATTTTGGGAGGTTACGGTTTAACTTTATACACTCAGTAGATGTTTTTATGTTTTTTATCTATCCATTTTCAACGACTACTCATTTACCATAGGGAGTGACGGTATTTATTTGTGCCCCTGTATTATTAACGGACACAGCAATTTTGCAACTGACTACTCAGTGCCTGTTAATGAAGGGGCTGGGTGGAATGAGACCCTGGCTGTTTGGTGGGACCAGCACACATCAGAGACCCTGCACCTCCATTCAGCGGCCAGCAGTACATCTTCACACGGCCATCCTTTTAGAGATTTAGCCTGCATGCTCTTTTTTTTGCCGGATGTTTGCTGGATGAACAGACGCAGGGTGGAGTCACATTTCGAAGTGGAGATACATGCTCTCCACGTATCCCAGAACTCTTTGCCAGTCAGGTCCAGCTGATCGTAGCATCTCATCCACGGTCTGTCAGATACGAAGAACATCCAGCTAAAATGCACCATTTTTTCATGAAATTCTAATTAAATGTATAATTCATCAAAATACAGGGCTACATGGAATAAAATTACATTCCAAAACGGTTCATTTCCACAGGGCATAAAATATGCCCATATCCACTAGAAGTTAAATACACGATCTGCCTTTTAAAAAAGGTAACGTGAACTTTGCCTGAATTGCCACACCCAGGTTAGGAAGTTCCAAACCTGACTCAATGAATTTAAATTGAACCAAACATGAGTGGATTTGTGTTAGTTGTATGGGGAAAAAAACTTAGAGATGGTTTGCTTTTATAAATTTTAAATGTAGACAGTGCGGAAAAAGACCTAAATATGTTTACGACCCAAATTGTGATGTACAGATGCTCCTCCACTAGCAAACTTTAAACTTACGAACCTCCAGACATACGAACGAAGAGGACTGTCAGTACAAATTGTGTTCATTGGGCTCCCGTTTCCTGTTCACAACATCAAATTTTTTTCTGCACTCCAATTCCGCCTAGTACGACTTCTGGCTGCTACTCCCACCGTGCAGCAGCGTAATATACGTACTCCCAGCATCCTAGTTCTTTGTATTTGCATATACCCTTAAAATGATGTTGAATAACGACTTGCGAACATTTCAAGTTACGAACGGCCATTCAGAACTTCTCATTTGTAAGTAGAGGAGCGACAGTATATTACTTTTTAAAATGATCACTTGTGAATAAAAGAAAACATTTCATTATTCGTTATTTATGAAAACTACATAGACCTACAATTTGAGAAAGCATGGTTGGTTAGTCCCATGGTACTGTGCCAAACTTAACTTTCAAGGAATATTTGTGTTCCTCAATTGAAAGTGCTGTTTGCCAGCTAAGTTAAGCATTAGCTTTCAGAAACAATGTCAGATATATCTGACTCTTAAGTTGGCTCACTCAAAGTTATTTAGGAGCTGATGGGGAATTTAAGAAGCTATATGCTCTCAGTTATGGGTTCCCAAGCTTTGATGCACAGTATGCTGGGAGATTTCCAGAGGGGTTGGTTAATTTCCAGAAATAAAGCATATTTTCAATTTATGCCTTTTTTTACGATCCCACCATATTTGTGTGTTCTGGAAAAACTGGAAATGGTCCCACCCAAAACCTAGTCCCTGAAATTTTCGTATGATGGTCGGCGTAAATTGGTCTGTGAACATCAGGAAGTTGGGAACCCATAATCTGGAGACTGTAGGCTTGGAATGGCACATGCCTGTCCTGTACCCAGAAGGGCATTAATATTCAGGTGATAAACCTCCAGTGGAGAGGTTTTCTAAGCCAGTCCCCAGCCCAGCCAACATGCCTGCTAATTTTAGTCTATTCCACCACCTGCTGACATAAGGCGCATAATTAAGAGCTTGATTATTATGTGAGCAGTAGAAAGAGCCATGCAGGCGGTGAATTAGCAGCGGCGTATGGATTGGTGGGGGGGGGGGGGGCTTTGGATCAGTGCTGCTCCAGGGTCTGTCAGTGAGGTTGAGTTTGGCATTACCAGTGTAGCTGGGATTCCGACACTTTCGCCAGTCTGGAAAGCCAGGCTTAGATTCTCCATCTGCATGAAACATCAAGTCCATCGGGGTTAGATTGCAAGCATTAACAATACATAGGTACACAGCAGTTTGAATCTATGGTATCTCTGCGTACGTATGTGTGTGACTTCTTAATATGGATTTCTGACTCATGTCTGCTCAGTCAGAAGAGGTTTTGTGGTAGTTTAGCCATGACGACGTATTGGGGCTGAATCAGAATGCTGTGCGGTTCACACCCACCTTGTCTTGTGGGTTTAGACTGCTGTAGGGGATGTGTGAGGGCAGGTATGTATGGTACACTGCACAGAAGGCCAATCCATCTACCCAGCTGCTGCTGAAGTTGGTGATGTCAATGTTCTACACAGATTATATGAGAAAACATGAGATCAAAACACAGCTTTACAGCCAAATACTCAGCACTGAACAACTCTCTAAAGGCTCATGAAGAGATTTCCTTAATTACTTTTATTTAGGACATCATATTAAAATCATTCTGTTTGTATGAAAGACCTCATTTTCAAACCAAACCCTGTATACATACAGTGGCCACTTTACTAAGGACACCTAGCTAGGACCAAGTAGGACTTTTGGCTCCAGAACCACTTAGATGAATTGTGTTCAGAGAAGCAGTTCTGCATATCACTGTAAGTAATGAGCTGTTTTGCACTCGTGGACATACCATGAACTTTAATGAGTCTGACCATCCTGTGTCCCCTCATTGACAAGGTGTTTTCAGCCACAGAACTGACCGTGATTTATTTATTTTTCTCTGTTCATTACACCCTTCTCTGTAAACTATAGATTCTGGTGTGTGAAAATCCCAGGAGAGAGACTGTTTCTGAGATGCTGGATCCATCATGTCTGGCACCAGGCTGCTCTGTGGGTTAGGTGAAAATCAGAGGCTGATCCTGCTTTTGTAGTAGCGCCCAGCCTTTGGAAGTCTGCCCTCTTATTATGGCTGTAGTTTCTGATTTGAAAACACAACTAAAAATGTATTTTTATTCCTTAGCTTTTGAGTATCAATTTGTAGATTGGCTATTTATATGTGTATATTTAGTTATTATTGAAGTGTTATTTATTTACTCTCTACAGCACTTTGGTCAACAAATGTTGTTTTTAAAGTGCTTTATAAATAAAGTGTACTTATTTTCCAATGACCAGAGCATGTATTAAATCAGATCAACACCTAGCTGCAATAATAGTAGCCAAACAGTAAGTGAACCTCTTGACCCTGTCTGTGTGTGTGTGTGTGTGTGTGTGTGTTGCTTATAGAAATGTGGCTTCGGCGGTTCATCTGTTGTTACTTCTATTATTATTATATGTTGTTGTTGTTGCTGTTTTTATAATTATTATTTTTGACTGTATTATTTTTCCGACTTGCCTACGAATTTGACCAAATGGAACAGAAATCTTGGGGATCTCATTCCCAGCCTGCGGACTGCTTGTATACTGCACAGACACGTACATGTATATATTTATATTGCTATACACACACACACATACATATATATGCCTGCCTAAGACTTTTGCACAGTACTGTATCCATTAATCAGTGTCAGTTAGATGATGCGCTGTTTTGAGGATGTGTAGGTCTACCTGTGGCCACTGACTGTATATGTCTACTATCGTAGTATGTTTTATGTCTTCATAATGAGACAATTGGTTTATGAATGTAGCAGAAACACTCATGTTGAGGGGAAGCAGGTGGGCTATACTCTGGGCTCCCTACAGGGGGCGCTGGGGTGCCACTCACCGCATAGCCCTGCGTGCGGCTTTGGCACCAGCGCAGCAGCGAGTTTCTCCTGGAACCGCCGTGGCGGCGCAGCAGCAGGCTGAAGCCATCGTGAGGCCTGAGATGGAGAGAGGAGATGGTGACTGAGGAGGGGGGCGGGGCAGCGAGTAGCCATCTGGGTTATGGCTCTTAGCCTCTGATTGGATGGTCACCTTGTGAGATCACCGGGTTGGCAGGGCAAGGCCTTTAACCCCCAAGCGCTCCAGGGACTAGCTAACCCTGCCTTCTCAATCAGATAAAAGAATCTGCTAAATAAGTAAATGTTAGACAAACTGGGAATGGGGCCGGGCCAGTTTGAACTTTGTACCCTGAGAGCCTTCCTAGGCAAGAAAACAAATGAATCAAACAAACTTTCCTCTTTATCAGCACAATTCGTTCTGGAGAAGCCTGCAGAAAAAACAAGTGTGAATTGATTGTGCTGCAGTTTGGGCCCAAGGCTGATCCTCTCAGTGTGGGGTGGGGATTCTCTAGGGCAGCCGTGTGCATCTGCGCTCCACCTGAGGCCCGCAGTGGGCTGATCCTCTCAGTGTGGGGTGGGGATTCTCTAGGGCAGCCGTGTGCATCTGCGCTCCACCTGAGGCCCGCAGTGGGCTGATCCTCTCAGTGTGTGGTGGGGATTCTCTAGGGCAGCCGTGTGCATCTGCGCTCCACCTGAGGCCCGCAGTGGGCTGATC